TATTATTATTATTATTATTATTATTATTATTATTATTATTATTATTATTATTATTATTTCCAAAATTCCGATCTTTTTTCTGAGAAAATTTTTTCAAGGTTGTAGGTTGTAAAGCAGGAAATGCCGCGTAATATCTGAGAGCTCTGTCGCGAGGTGTAAGCGACTCTAAATTTGTTTTATTTTCATCATTGGACTTCTTAAATTCTTCTTCCTTTTCATCTGAACCGCCTCCTTCCAAGTCTCTAAGTTTCATACATAATTCGTCGACCAACGTTTCCACACCACACTTCTATATAATTAAGAATATATATATATGTATGTGTGTGTAAGAAAATTTGAAGTATAAATCATATTAAAAATTATTGTTACTTACATTATCAGCAGCACTTGTTAAACATTGCACGACAGCACGTCTTTGCTCTCTATCTCCTTGCGTGGGCAGTTTTGCTTTAGGTCGGGCCCGAATGCGACGCCCTCCGTTTCTACCTGTACCTACTGCTTCTTCTGGTGGGCTTAGGGCCGAGTCGGGGCAGCGCAATAGGCTGAGCACAAATCGCGAGTACGCAACGGGGTCAATTCCCAATGCGTCCAAGCGTGTCTCGAGCCACTGGCGCAACTCCTCCTCGGCCCTGGTACCAAAAACTTCACCTCCACCAGGGGACGTCGCTATTCCGACCAGATGCAATGCCGGATTCCTCATTTCCTTTTAATAAAGCTCCTCCTAGACCCAGGAACTTTTACAGGCTTCACTACCTCCAGGGTGATCATCTTCTCTCCTTAAAACGTAAATAAATTTTATCATTATTTATATATTAAACTTTAATACGATGAAGATTTATGAAAAAAGTGAATGATCAAGTTACCTATTTACAATAGAGTTACTGTATTATATTATTGTCCTTTAATGTTTCTGAATTTTACTGAATCCACCACCTTGACATTTACTAGCTTGATAAATGTTCTTTTTTTTTTTCTTTGTTACTTATAATTTCTCACTTTTAGTTTCGTTGCCCACAATCAATGGTGGTACTTCTTGTGATTTCAGTTACGTTGATATTAAAAATTACTTAGTTCTTGTGCAGGTGGTGGATATCTTGTGGAAATGAGGCTGGCAGGTCTTAGTGAAGGATAACAAATATAGTCTCCTTCCCATTTTGACACTGAAATTTTATAATTTCCAAATTATTTTTTTAAATATTTAATATGCAAAAATATTTTCTGTAAATAAAAGAGTACATATTTGTTTTTTTATTATTCCCATTTATTTATATGATAAAAAATATAATTCCATAATACATAGTATATTTTGGCAAAATCCATATATATATATATATATAATAAACTTATATTTATAAAAAACTTTTTAAATAAACCATAATAAAACAAAAATTGTTATCATGTTTCTTATATAAGCAACACTAAATAATAATTGTATAAAACTTTCATATAATTTCATTTTCATATAAATTAAAAAAGTGTTAATGTCAATATATTAACAAACTTATATAATATGCTACATATAAAATGATATATAAAAACATAACATTCATTAAAACAAAGCTATATTAACAATAAATATTATTTTTATAGCTGAATATCTAAATAAGTTATAACAACAAGCATTATTCAATATATATCACATATCATAAAATAATAAAAAAAAATAAATCATAGATATTTAAATATAATATTAAAAATCAATTAGTGATTTATATTTTTCCAATAAAATATTAAAATATATAATAGGCATTATTTATTTTTATTTCATAAATATAATATAATATAAAATATTATATAATTTAATAAATATAATATAAAATATTATAAAAATTTTCAATAATCATATTATAAATGTTTGAAATAAACATATTTCTTTATTTGTTAATCATAAGTCAAAACAATAATTATTTCATTGACATAAAAAAAATATTTATGTCATTGACATAAAATTAGCATGAAATTTTGTTTATTTTATTAAAGCATATAATTATACAAAATATTTCTATTGCAAAATTTTAAATATCGTATTTAATATACGTTCGATTAGATTTACAAAGATTTTACGCAAAATATAGTTGCAAATGTAAGACGCAATTTTAGAAATGAACATTCATGTTAGAGACTATTAAGTCACGTTGCACAAATCGTGGAGCTAAAGTACATGTTCCACGTCGTGTCTAAAAAACGAGCTACCATAATGCATATATAAATAAAAACAAGTTACTGAACCTGTCGAAACGAATCGACACTTTTATCAATGTTGTCAAAAACATTTATCGCTACATTACGTGAATATGAGTAATTAAGCATAACATAAGATTTTTGAGTTTGCACACATTATCAACCAGCCTCGTCCACTTGATAGATGTCTCTCGTACTGGTGCACAAAAACAAACTGTAAATTCGAGTGCATAATACTGCAATTTGGCTGTTTACGGATTGTTGGCAAAGACATTGCTAGAGCAATGCAAATAACCTTGCCGATTGCGCTATGCATTTTGTCTGAGTCATAGTTCTTTTGACAAGAGAACGAACAAATGCATGACGTTACGAAATAACAACAAACATATTTTCACATTTAATGCATTGTCATCTTGTGACATGTATTATAGTTACTTCGATCACGATTAATGAAAATATTAAAATTTTGACATACCTGCATGCCTCGAGAGATGATTTTCACCCCGGCCTCTTCTACACACCCCACTCAGAGAAAAACATGGCGGCTACTAAAAGCTTCATTGCCCCTCCCCCTTCAGATACTGGCACTTGATAATTCTTGCAAAAGATTCTTAGTGCGTTCAGAAATTAACCTTCCATTGATTACAAAGATTAATTGAATATTATTTGTAATTATATCTATGATGTATTTATTGTTTATTAGGTTTTATTCGATATTTTACTTTTAAAATTTTATTTTCATTATAAATAAAATACGTTTTGCAAATTTTATTTACTATAGAATGTTTAATTTATTTATGTTAATAGTAAGTGTAAGTTATTTTAATAAATGTAAACTAGAAAAATTATGATGGATATACACATTGAAAAAACAAATTGATTTGATCAATTTTAATATTCGACATTAGTAATTTAATAAATTTTATACCTTTAATAACTATATTTAATAATAATTAAAAAATACTTTAAAACATATACGCATATAATATTATTATTAAATCTAAAAATAGAATTATTTAAAATATAGATATATTTATTTATCATTAAATTGTTTAATAGATTTTAATAAATCTTAAAAATCTTATTTTATAAAAAAAAGATATTTTATAAAATATTTAATATATTTTTATTTAGTAGTTTAATTTACACTAAAAATACTATGTATACATTTTTAAATGGTTATGAAAATAAATATTATAGATAAACAAAATTTAATTTTTTAATGTAATCATAATATACATTTAATTTCAAATATATTCTAGAAAATAAATCAAAATAAATATTTATAATTGGATATTAATTATTAAACTAGTGATATTTATTTAATCAGCTGATCTTTGTTCTGTATCACTATGTTCAAGTCGGAAAATGTGTGATGGTGAAGTATTTTATCACGTTACAGATAAAAACGACTTTGGAAGATTGCATAAATTACAAAAAAAATATTGTAATATAAGATGAATTCTTTAATTCATACTAAAAAAATGGTATCCGGTCACAGAACAGCAATTCGCAGTATGTAGAATCATTTTTTTTTCAAAATAATAAATCAGAACAATAATCTTAATTATATTCTAATACATATATTATACATATTATACATAGTACATTTATATAACAGATATATTTACAGATAGAGTTATTAATATCTATGATAAATTAATATAAATTTTTTTTTTTCCATTATTATTTTTTTTATTAATCTGTATAATTTCAATCGCATATAGGTTATGTTATGAAATAGATATTACATTGATATTATTTTATTTTTTGTATCAATTATAATATTTTAATTATTTAACTAATTTTAATTGCTTTTATTTATAATCAATTATTATTTTTTTTTTCAAAAAAACATATGTTAATGAAAAATATATCATTAAAAATATTTATTTAGAAACATAATTTAATATTTTATATTTTACAAAATATTATTATTATAGATTATTGCAGCTTTAAATTATGGTATAATACCAATCAAATAAATAGTAGCTTGGCATTTATTTGTGTAAATAGAAGAAATCCCAAGAATAACAGATTATTATTGCATTCTATAATAACAGAAAATTACAACAATAATTTATCCTATGTACAATTTCGTACATTTTATATTACACCAATATGGAATGGTCAAGAATCATCTTCCAAAGTAGAAGATACAATAAAAAATATCAAGGAAAAAAAAGAACTTGAAGCTAAAACACAAGAATGTGTTGTTCATACTTCTTCAAAATCAAAAGTAGCAGAAAAAAAGCCACCAATTTGGGAAAGAATCAAAGGAGAAATTCTACATTATTATCATGGATTTAGATTATTAGGTCTTGATATGAAAATTTCAGCAAAATTGATATGGAGAATTTTACAGGGTAAAGAACTTAGTAGAAGAGAACATAGACTTGTAAGTTATAAATGATATATATATTTATAATTAATAATTTAAGTAAAGTATATTCATTTAATTATTTTTGTGATTTTCTAATTTAAATATTTTTAGCTTGTAAAAACAACGGGGGATATGTTCAGACTTATTCCTTTCTCTGTTTTTGTTATTGTACCCTTTATGGAATTTTTACTTCCAATTGCTATTAAGGTTTTTCCTGGATTATTACCATCTACTTTCCAAACAGCAACAGATAAAGAGAATAAATTAAAACAAGCATTGAAAGTATGCATTATAATTTTGTAAAAATTATTTTTCTATATATGTATAGATATAGATATATACTTACATACATATTTTTTTAATTTCAGATTAAAATTGAAATGGCAAAATTTTTACAACAGACATTAGATGATATGGCAGTACAATCAACTGATTGTAAATCTCAAAAAGCCAAAGAATTTGCTGAATTTTTTTATAAAGTTCGAACCTCTGGTGCTGTGGCTACTAATGAAGAAATTATGCAATTTAGTAAATTATTTGAAGATGAAATTACATTAGATTCTCTTACTCGACCACAATTAGTTGCATTATGTAGAGTATTAGATGTACAAACTCTTGGAACATCGAATTTTTTACGTTTTTTACTTAGAATGAGACTTAGAAGTCTTACTGCAGATGATAAAGTAATTTTTATATACATATAAAATGCTTTTTTAGGAGAATAATAAAAAATGCAGATTTAATAATAATATTTATTTTTATAGTTAATTGAAAAAGAAGGTATAGATTCACTTACTAGAAGTGAATTGCAACAAGCCTGTAGAGCTCGTGGAATGCGAGCATATGGATTACCAGATAGTAAATTAAAAGAACAATTGTCTCAATGGTTAGACTTAAGTTTAACTAAAAAAGTTCCACCTTCATTGTTACTCCTTTCACGAGCACTTATGGTTCCCGAAACAATACCAATGTCAGATAAATTAAAAGCTACTATTTCTGCTCTTCCTGATACTGTTGTTACACGTACTCAGGGTGCAATAGGAGAAAAAGAGGGTAAAATGGACCACAAAACGAATATCGAAATTATTAAAATGGAAGAACGCAAAATTGAAGAAGAGAGGCAAGAAAAAGAACCACAAACTACTGTTTGTTTACAAAGCAACAAAACGGACGAAATTACGAATTCAGATGTAAAAGTTTTAGAACAGGCTTTAGATTGTCTTGGAAAGGTTTGTAAGAATGAAATATTATATTATATATTAAATTAATAGTTATATATTATATTATTAAATTAAATTAATAATTTTTTATAATTTCTTTTAAAAATTAAACATATATATCTAATTTTATAAAGGATAAAGAAATGTCTGTTGAAAAAGAAGAATTGAAAGAATTGAAAGAAGAAATGGCCGATTATCAAGAAGATCTTAAAGAATTTTATGAAATAAAAGCAAATGCTAAAGGCCAACAAGACATAGAAAATATTAAAGTATCCAAAGGTGCCATTCGTTTGTTTAATAAAGTGAATAAGATGATTAATAAAATGGATGCAGTTGTTGTTCAACTTGAATGTGAAAAGAAAATGAAAGAATTACAAAATATAAATGATGTTAATAAAGAACAAACAAATACTTCAAAAACTGCTGAAGAATTAGTTAAGATAGATGAATTAATTTCAGCAATTAAAAAAATGCAAAGTGTACCTGATCAACATCGATTACAACGCATAGCTGAAATTTTAGCAAAAATTGATGATGATAGAGATGGAGCTATAAAAATTGAAGATGTCTTAAAGGTAATATATAATATAGTATAAATAATAAAAAAAAAAAAATTAATTCATTTAAGTTTATAATAATTATGGTTTTAAGGTATTAGAATTAATTGGTAAAGAAGACATCAAATTAAGTAAAAAACAAGTAGATGAATTACTTGAATTGATTGATAAAGAAGAAATATTGGAAGAAAAAGAACAAAATCAAAAAAAGTTACAAAAAGATTCGTGTGAATTTAAAGATGAAAATGATATTAAAACAAAATGTGCTTTGCCTCAATCATCAGTTTTTGTTACACCAATAACAACTGAAAAGAATATTGGTAAAGAAGAATTAAAGAAAGTTGTTGAAGAATCAAACAAAAGTTATAGTATACATTCATCTGAACAAGAAAGAGAAAAATCAGCTGCAATGCTTAAGAGTAATTCCAGTTCTAATGGAGTTAGAAATCCTCCCTTAACTCCCAATGTTCCATCACCAACAAAAAAAGCGGAAGGCTCTAAGCAACTGTAATTACCGCACAATCAAATATTATAATTTATGTAATTAAACAACATTTTTATTGGGTACAGATTTAGAAAACTATCATATTTTCATCTTTATAGATTATATGTCTATCTCTATATAATATGATATTATAAATTTT